GTAAATTTCATCCTCAACTTTTTAATTTTTTCAATTTAGTCCTTTTCTTGTTTTTTTTCTTCAACTTCTCCCCCAAATTTTTCATAAAATTTTTTTATAACGATAAATCCGAAACAGTACGCGAAAAATTTCGGTATCCGGTACGTACCGTTCCAGTAACAAAATCGGTACGCATGCCGGTACGGTATTTACTACTTTGGTATTTATAGAATTTTAAAAACTCTAATTGAAATAGAAGTAGGACTTGGAATAGAAATAGGAAACTGAATTTTGGATGATGATCCGTGGTACTGATACTTTGGATTACGTGTTGACACAAAATAGGAAACAGAATTTGATTCTGGACGTTTAACGTATGGTGTCGACACCCCACACTACACCCGTGTCGGGTTTTTGGCCTCCTTTTGCAATTTTTTCAATGGTCAAATAGCAGATCTGGTCCTCCATATTTTGTACTATGAGCATTTAGATCCCAAAACTCAAGATTCATTCATTTAGGTTCCAAATGGCCGCCCTTCTTCTTGCAATTCAGTCCCTCAACTTTTAGAAAATATTCAATAAATCCTAAAAACTCTTATTTTATGCATTTAAATCTTTTTCTGCACAAAGAATGAAAATCATGTAAAATCTTATAAAACTCAATAAAATCTCATAAAACTCATCCAAATATCAATAATATCAAAGCAACAATTCCACATTAATATGTATACAATTTCAACTCATCAGCCAGCTTTCAATTTCAAAGTCATACACAACAAAAATGAAAAACAAATATTCAAATTTTAAATGACCAAAAAAATAAAATTTCAACTACTTGTCTTAATCCAAAATTACACATGTGCAAGTACGCCATCAATTCAATTAAACTACAAATAAATTATAGTATCAAATTAGTGATACAATTAAAAAACATGGATAAACTTTGAGTATGCTAGATGTAATAATATTTTATCTAAGATATACACTATTATTAAATAGTATATTTAGATAAAATATAAAACTGTATAAGGTGAGATTCGAACTTACAATTTTAATGTTAATAAATTATTATCAATTATGAGATAATATAGTAAAATTTGATTAAAATAAAATAGAGGGTTTATAAAATAGTTGGGGGGGTAAACTTCTTAGTCTTAATTAAAAACTTGGGCATGAAGCTA